TGAATTATCTTGATGTGGTTTTCTTTGCGTTTGTTTATCTTTTCCTTTGTTGATCTTCTTTGCTTGTAGGTTTATAGTTTTCTTCATACTGAAAAAAAATCTTGGCCATTGTATCTTCACATATTTTTCACATATTTTTCCAAGCCTTTCTTCTTTTGGTTTGCAGTTACACATATGTTAGATGATGTGATATAGTCTTGCAGATTACTAAGATTATTTATTATATTCATTAAGGTTTTTTGTCTCTCTGGCAATCCTTTGGATATTTAAAATGCCTTTTCTTCATATTCACTAATCTTTTCTTCTATAGGGTTGAATTTGTTGTTCAACCCATCAAGTGAAAATTTCCTTTCAGAGAATATATTATTATGTTCTAGGCTCTTTAGGTTTTTTTTAAATATCCTCTGTTCCTCTCCTTATTATGTTCATGTTTTTATTTAAATATTTGGGTGTTTTTTTATTAATTGATTTTGAGAGAAAGAGACAGAGACATCAATTTATTGTTCCACTTATTGATGCATTCATTGGTTAATTCTTGTACGTATCCTGACTGGGGATCAAATGTGTAACCTTCGCATATCAGGATGACACTCTTAACTAACTTGAACTACCTGGTAAGGGCTTGGTGTGGTAATAGCTATTTAAGTCTTTGTCTACTAATTTTACTATCTGTCATTTCTAGGTTTAACTCTATTGACTGATTTTTTCTCCTGCTTATAACTCACATAGTCCTTCTTTTTCTCGTGTCTGGTTATCTTTTATTGGATGCCGGACATTATAAAAGTTAATTTGAATGCTGCATTATCTTTACTTCTTTTAAAAAAATATTAGACTTTTTTAAAGAAGCTGTTAAGTTACTTGTAGATAATCAGTTTGATCCATTTGAGGCTTGTTTCAAACTTTGTTAGAGCAAATTTAAAGTTGACTTTACTCCAAGTCTAGTTTAACCCATAACTGTGACCTTCCTGGATGTTCTGTGAGGACTCTCCATTCTGACTGATCAGAGATCGAAAATCTCTGAGCTCTGTGTGAGCTTTGGGAATTGTCTGTCTTAAAGCTCACCAGTCACTTTGTACTGGTCTTATAGAACTTAACCTTACACATGCACAGCTAAGTATCAGTAGCAGACTCAGGTGAACCCATGTAGCTATCAGGACTTCCGCATGCACCCTCCTCCCATCTAGTGGTCTGCCCCGGCAAACTCCAGCTGCTCAGCCTTCCCAGACTCTAATCTCTGTTTCCTCGATTCACAATACTGCTGTGCTGTGCTCGACTCCCTCCCGGTGTCCAGGCCCAGAATGTGCCTCCAGGAAGAAAGGGATGGTTGTCGGGTTTACCCCCCTTTGTTTCCCATCCCTTCACAGTCACAGTCCTGTGCTTCTTGCTCCCAGCACCCTAACAGTTTTCTCCATATTCTGTCCAGTTCTCTAGCTGTTTACTGTAGCAGATGAAGTATGGTCCCAGCTACCCCACCATGGTCCCAGCGGAAATGATGGATTTTATTTATGCTTCCCAAATTTATGCCTTTATTTTGATGTAATATGTAGAGGTTTTCAAGTTGGAAAGTTCTGTAAAAATTCTAAATTTTAAAAATTAAATTAAATCTAAGTATTCATTATGAATTATCTGAATATTTATGCACCATAGGATAATACACAGTTTTGTAGTAATATCTGGCACCATAACTCTTTCAGTCTTTGAAGAAGCTTCAAATGGGTACCTATACAACTTTTAGTAGAAAAATACTGCATAATAATCTGAGCTTTGTACTGTTTAAAGAATTTGGCAAGCATCCTTTTATTTAATCCTGTTTATTCCAAAACTTATACTATTATATTTTAAAGAAATGTATCCTTATGAGATCTGAACTTACCTTAAAAAGAGGAGTCTCCTAATTTTCTTCTGTCCAAATCACCTTCCTGGAAATCATGGATGCATGAATTTTCACCTTTAGTGATGGGACATGGAAAATAAAGGAATGAAAGACTTTTTTGAATTATGACATAATGTGAAGTGCCCTGCAGAAAAGGGTGCTATATTAAGATGATTTGGGGGGAGGGGGAGTGGATATCTATAATACTTTCAACAATAAAGATAAAAAAATTTTAAAAGATGGTTAACAGCCGTTGACACCTTTGTGAAAATTGGTTGGTTGGTTGATTGGTTCTTTTGCAACAGGGTTTTAAACCTGAGATTTTGATGGGAGTTGCATAGAGAAAGTGGACCAGCACGCTGGGCTCTTTGACAAGGAAGACGCCCTAGAGAAGCAGAGGGGAACCGAGTGCTTGTGAATGGCGAAGCGGTAGCCAAGCACACACGGGAGCAGTGAGGTTGAAACAACAGCAACAACAAAACAATTCTGCTCACTTCAAAAAAAAATTTTTTTTCTCATCTGTTATTCTATACCTATTCAGGCCATGTTGTAGATGACTATTGGAAAACGGTATTTTTCTATAGTAATGATAGTTATGAAAATAAGACTTGGATTCAAATAGCTAACCCTAACTTAATTTATGTATGACATTAAATGTAAGTCAATACCATGCTGAGAGTAAAATTATTCAAAAATGTCGGGGGGACAGTTTGCATGATAAATTAGCTATAATTTTTCAACCATGCTCAACCAGAGCTTTTTAGATGTAATTGAAAAGTTCAGAAATTCAGGCAGCTGTGACTTAGGTTCACATACATAGTAAAAGCCTTGAAGCTTGATAAATAAATTTTATTTCTTCAATTATTCAAGAAATCACACAATTTCTCATTATGCTTTAGAGTATTGATTCTGCTCTATTTCGCTAACTAGGTCTAGGCCAGCGGTTCTCAACCTGTGGGTCGTGACCCCTTTGGAGGTCAAATGACCCTTTCACAGGGGTCGCCTAAGACCATCGGAAAACACATGTAAAATTACATATTGTTTTTGTAATTAATCACTATGCTTTAATTATGTTCAATTTGTAACAATGAAATTGGGGGTCACCACAACATGAGGAACTGTATTAAAAGGTCGCGGCATTAGGAAGGTTGAGAACCACTGGTCTAGGCTTTTTATATACCACCATCTGGTCTCACTTTAAATTCAGCATTGGTCATTTCAAGTGGCCCAGAATGCTTCCCGGGTTCATGGACTCATTCTGCAGTCCCTCCCCACTTTCCCAGGTGACTATTCATGTTCTCGCCTCACACCTTGAGTCTCCCAACAGTCTCTTCTGCCCTCCTCCTGCTAACCTGATGAACCCTTCCTTCTGCTTCATGGAGAAGCTGCAATTAATCAGGAGTTCCCACCACTGCTGCAGGGGTGGTACCTGTACTTCCCAGCAAAGGCCCTCTCCTCCCCTGCACACTCTATCCCACGACCTTTCCTTTCCTCAAGGACATGTCTCCAGTGAGTCCCTGGCATCAGCTATTTTCCCCTCTCTCCTGCAGATCTTTCCTGTCAGCTTGTATGCTGTTAGTTCTCTCATCTCACACACAAAAAAATACAAACAAGTCAGCCCTGCCTTTGCCCACTTCCCCTGCAGCTTCCAGCCCATTTCTCTCCTTCCCTTTGTAACAAAACCCTGAACAAACTGTCTGCATCTGCTCCAATTCCTCCCCTCTCTCTTGGGCTCCCTCTAATCTAGCGTTCCTCCTTGCCACTACACAAAATTGCTTCTATCCAAATCACCAATGTCCCCCACATGCTCAAAAAAGCCATGTGGTCATTTCCCAGCCCTCCCTGTGCACGAGCTCTCTGTAGCATCGGACAGTGGAATACGCCTTGAAACACTTTCTTTATGTGGCTTCAGGATGCCCTCCTGTCCTTGCCTCTTACCTCTCTGGCCTTTATTTGCTTTCTTGACATTGGCAGGCCCAGAGCTCAGTATACTTGTACTTCCTTTATTTTTATAGACCCTCGATGCCTTAGCATGTCATCCAGTAGCATAGTCCTATACACCATGTATGTGCTGATGTACACTTTTAGCCTAGACCTCTCCCCTGAACTCCAGACTGGAATGTCCACATGTTCACTGCAACGCTACATGTCCAATAGGCATCTCCAAGCTTCATGTGTCCGAAACTTATCTGGATCTTCCTCCAAAAACCTGTTCCACGAAGGTTTTGATGTAAGGTAATGATGACACCCCATTCTTCTAGTTGCTTGGGACAACTGTCTTGAAGTCACCCTTGATTCATTTCTTTTTATCATACAGCGTAGCCAGTTATGAGAATAGTGGCCAGAACCTCCTTAGACGAAGGGCCCAGCGCAGGTTGGAAGGGCCTACTCTGTGCCTGCACAGGGAGGGGAAGGCCCAGTCTAGGGCATGTCACTGTGATGTTTCCAAACACTCAGGATAAAGGGAGGGTCCCAGAGGTGCCCAGAGAGCGGAAAGCAGGTCACATGCAAAAAAGTCAGACCTCGAGTGGCAGAGGACACAATCGCACTGTCCGCGGGCTTATTCTGGCAACACCCCGCTTCCGGGACGTGGACATGGTTTGATTAGATACATGTGTCACTTCAAAAAATCGTTCTTGTGTGTTAGGCAGAGTGGGGGCTCAAGTCAGCTCAGTGAACCTAGAAGTCTCCTATCTGCCTGTCTGGGAACGTCTGTTTCTTTCCCCTTTAAACGGAGGGAAAGAGTGTTACATTTCCTCCTGCTCCACTCCCTCCCCCTTCCTCTTCCTGCTCCTTCTCCTTTGTCCTTCTCCCCTTCCCCACTTTACCTTCTGAGCCTTCACACTTGCTCTGTGTCTATTTCTGTCTCTCCTTCTCCCTTTCTCTGTCTATCCACAGAAGTCTGTGTTTGTCTAATCATTGGCAGGAGAAATCTTTTTTTTTTCTTTTGCTCTTTGCGTTTTAAGTGATGAATAGTTGGCTCTGGATCAAAGACAAACCCTGTGGTTTTCTGGCTGCTCCAGAGGGCGGTGCAGCTGGCAGCCGGCCCAGCTGCTGGTGATAGGCATGTGCAAGATACCAAGCTCACAGGTCACTGTGTGTGTGTTCACGTCCGTGTGTCTTTCAGGCCAACAGCAGACTGAAGCAGATTGAGAAGGAGTACACCCAGAAGCTTGCCAAATCTTTGCAGGTAAGAACGTTGGAAGAGAAAAGCCAAACGAGAAGAACATATGCATAAAAGCCTTTGTATGTTAGGATTAAACTTCATTCTCTCCAGTTCCTCACAGATTAGCATCATGTTTTCGATGGGTACATGGATAAGTAATATATGCTTTTAATATTTTTTATTAAAAAAAACTTTTTAAATTGAACCATGTGAACACACACTCACATGTGGTAGAACCAGCCCGTGCACTTGAGCAAGCCCAGGCCGAAGCATATTTCATGAGGGTGGGAGGCACACGCCTACATCTGTGATGTAAGCAGTTTGATACCATCTGTGCTTTTTTGCAATATTCCATTTTGCTGCAGTAAAGACAGCTTAACAACAGAATTCAAAATGGCAAGTGTCTGCATTAAATTACCAGCTCAACTGTTGGCTCCTTTGGGAAAAAGAAGAAGTCCCTCCACTCATAGCTTTCTGTGTGTTGTTACTTTTGTAGTTTTAGTCTGAAAAGGCCAATAATTGATGTCTTCTCTACTTGACATGATGCTTATAATGCTCTCTGCATGAGTTGTTACAAGGCTATTCTAGAGCAGCACCCAGGGAATCCCAAGCATTCCTTAGTTGTATGAATAATTCTAACTAAATAAATACTAACTTTCATTTTAGTTTTGTGGCATCATAACTAATGACTTTGTAACTCAACTTTTCTTAATGTATACAGGGAAACGTGGTAGTAAACTGAAATGTATGTACCATTTTATGAGTTACCACACAATTGGTAGTAACAGCAACACGACAACAAAATGATACTAATATCAAGAATTTTATGGGGCACTAACCATATTGACTCATTCTGTCTTCATTCATAATAACACTGAGACTAGGAATTATTATTAGTTTTCCACTTGAGGAAACTAAAGCTGAGGAAAGTGAGGTCACATAATTAGCAAATGACTGCGCCAGGATCCAACCTGGATCTGACTGCCCCAGCCTGACCCACTCCCTCACATTTTTTATATCACATAATTTTGGTGGTGATGATCATGAAATTTCTTAAATTCTACAATTATTTCAAAAATGTGCATATGTCATAATTTACATCCCATTAGGAAATCAAAAATCTTCAAGTGAAGGCTCATATGTGCTTATTTAAAAAGATGATGGTTGCACTAGCCAATTTTGTTCAGTGGTTAGAGCGTCGGTCTGCGGACTGAAGAGTTGCAGGTTTGATTCCCATCAAAGGCTTGTACCTTTGGCTGCAGGCTCAATCCCTGGGCCCCCATCAGGACGAGTGCGGGAGGCGACCAATCGATGTGTCTCTCTCACATCAATGTTTCTCTCTCCCCATCTCTCCCCTCCCACTCTCTCTAAAAATTAATGGAAAAAATGTCCTTGGGTGAGGATTGAAAAAAAAAAAAAGATGATGATTGTCTTGACTGCCCTTATTCCAGACCTTCCTTGAGGAAAAAATATGGGGAATATCCTTTATAATCCACTGAGAAAAAAATCTTATAATCAAAAGAAATCTTATTACTCTGAAAGTTAAAGTTTAAACTGAAATAATGGAAACCGCCCAGCTGGCATGCATCACATCCTGCTGCTTGTGCTTTATGTTAAATGGGGGAGGCAGACCGAAAGTGAGATAGAAGATAGCTGACAAAATGCTTCCATGATGGGAGTGTAACCAGGGGTGTTGAAGTTTATCTCGAGGAATGTGTGAAGAAGGCCGATTAGTTGGTATTAAAGCAAATTAAATGGAAGTGAGTGTGGAAGATCACCTCAGCTTCCCAGGGCGGCAGACCTGAATTGGAATTCCAGCCCTACCACTTACATGACCTTGAGCGAGTTACCTGCCCTCTCTGGAATTCAGTTTGCTCATTTGTATAATGGGGGAGTAATGCTTACTCGGAGGATTAAGTAACACAATACCACAAAAGTGCTTAGTGCAGAGCCTATAGCTAGCAAAGCATTTAATCACGTTTAGCTCTTACAATGATAGTATGAAACTTGCATTGAAAAAGGAAAAGAGGGAGCAAAGAAGGGCAAGGGTATGGAAAGGGCAAAACATTAGTTTATTTTGGGGTGTTTGCACATTGATAAAAGTCTACTTCCTGAATTTGGAGAGGTAAAGGGCTGCTGAATATTATCCCAATGAAAGACATGAAGAAGGAGGAGGAAGAAGAGGAGGAAAAACCAACTAGTAACAACTGCCATGTCCTATGACCATCATTTCATCAATGAAAGGCCAGTGCAGCGCCAAGTCAGAAAAAACCTTCGAAAAGGTCTAGTAACATAGTAAGAGACTACATAGTCCATCCTTCTCATAACAGATGGGATGACAGCCTCACATTGTCAGTATGTGTTAGCCCACCGCTAAATATGAGAAACATTGCTGATCAGTCAGTTCAGAGAAACAGATGATTTAAAAATAAACATTGTAAAACAGGACCATGGATTGACTTTTTATGTTTTCCAGTTTGTTTACTGGCTTCTCTAATTCAATGTCTAAGCTGAGGAGAGTGCAGGAACAAAGTTGCTTAACTTTATTAAATTTTTAACAATCTCTCAAAAAAACAAAAGTAGTAAGATGAATGCCTTAGTAATGAATTGGTAACCAGGAACTCATCAGGTACATTGGAAAATATTTTAAACATTTTCCTCCCTTAAAGGAAGTTACTTAATCTTTAAGATTTTATCAAGCGTTTAGGACCTACTAGACCATGTACACCAAACCCTTGGCATATCCAGGACTGTGCCCCTTTGGGATTCTCAACGCCCACCAGGATGGTGCTCCTTTCGTCACTGGGCACACTTCCAGGATCATTCTATCGGAGTCATGTATTTATTCTTTTTATCTTAATATTACATATTAGCCTCCCTTTTCAATTCTTATGCTGGTTCCCACTCAGCTGACTTACTTGGTCAAAGAAAGATGTTGCCATCTGCAGGGGTATAAGTGGTGGTGAGAAAACTAAAGCTGGATGCCAACACCCACTCGCTGCCAGGGCCCGGCTTCCCGGCTGCCCACACTTGCTCCCACATACCCTGCAGATCAGTGCCCGGGCCTGCGCCATGTGTCCCACACCCAGCCTTCCTGTCACTCTCCAGGGTGAGAGCCCAGAATGCAAAAGGTGTCAAGGAGCCCCTCTTCCACTTAGTTTAGGAGGATCTTCTGTGCTCGCTGAACCTCCCCGAGGATGCCTTGTCTTGTCTATTGTATTTTACAGAAGAGCTTTATAAAAATCCCCAACTCCTCTATGACCTGAAAACCAGTTAAGTGAGTTAAAGATAAAATCTTAACCTCTATTTAGAATCCTGTTATTTTTAAGACCTAATAAGACCACTAACATTAAATCAAAGTATTACTTGCTTAATAATCATTATTAACTGTGATAGCTTTCATGGAATGGGTTGCTTACAGTATCAGCCTCAGAGAGCCCTCCTTTTGTTTCTAAAATGTTAATTTTTAACACTCTAATTCACTTCCTTCTCGGAAGCAAATGCAGGTACATTTTGTTGAATGGTGGCATTTTGTTCTATGGTTTTTAATTACGACTCAACCCAAACTGGTGGCGTTGAATTAGGATTGTATAGATTAGTTTTCATTTTTCTCAGAAATTTTTCTATGAAAGGCTAGCTTATCTCAATATACTATTTCAAGTAATTATTTTTTATTTACTCTGATTATAATTCTACTACTTAAGTATTTATTGGGTGCCAGTTATGTGCACTGAGCTAAGATGAAAATAGCCTATTCCCTTATACTCTGTGTCTGCAACCAGGTGAATTTTGTTCCTTACTTAAAGCTTATTAAACTAGTTAGTATGATTATTTTCTATCTTAAAGTAAATCTCAAGTCAGCTTTTAAAAATTGTCTATATTTTAGTCACGTCTCTGTAGCCATCTTATCTATCAGTCTGTCAACCAATTTATCTGTTTATCTGTCCAACTTGAAATGTTTTGACACTCTCCCTATATCATCTTCATAAGTTTTTAAATTAACTTTCCAAAGGTAATCTCATTTCCCAAAAATAATCTCATTATTCCCTCAAAGAATGTAAGGTTTAATTTCCCACACAAAGGCAAGCATGCTTTTTTCTAAAACCCGCATTTCTTTCTTTCTGACGTGTTCTTGTCATAAATCTTCTAAATATGAGAGATCCCTCTTTCACACCCTTGTCGTTTGAAGAACCCCAAAATATTTTTATCTTCCATTATAAAGCTAATCTGAATCTTACTTTTTTTAAAGAAATGAAATTACTCTGTACTTTAAAAATGCATTGCGTGATTGTGATGATAGATATATGAATCTATGCACGTGATAAAATTGCATAGAAAACACACACACACAAATCGAACACACAGTGAACACATTAGAGAATTAAACTCTCCACTTCTGCAAAGTTGTAGTTTACTCAACTTGAAACACTGCAATAGTCATTGAGAGAGTAAGTTATTTTTGCTATTTGGCCCCATGTTCTTATAAAATACCAATCCCAAGTTTCATGTTGGGCCAAGGAAATCTGGCTCTTTGTTATCTCCAGCTCCTCTGGCTCTGTGACTGTGAGTGAGTTCATTACTCTGTGCCTCAGTTTTTGACATTTACTGTAAAAATTTAACCTTCCCTGTTTCATAGAAGTGCTATGAGAATTAATGGAACTGATGCCAGAATGGAAACATTTCATCAAAATTCAAGAAACAGATGAAAACATCTTCCTTCTCAGTAAATGAATTCCCCAACTCACAGCAGAAGGGTCAAGTTTGCATGTAAAAATATGACTGTACCACTATTATCATCTCTTTCACAATTGTCTTAGTATTTGATTCTTTACAAATTCTAAATGTTAAGCTTTGTTACAGTGACTTTAGCTCCCTTCTAAAAGCATAAGTACCCCACATTTTATTGTAAATGTGCTATTATTTCTGTCAGTAGTAACAACTAATATTTCCATAGGAGTTGGCTTTTGGGAGACTCCAGACACTTTCTATTTATTGCCTTATAATGCTGTGAACTGGTGTTGTCATCTAATAATAGCTGGAAAAACTGAGTTTCAAGGAAGATCACTCACTTCTCCGGTGTTTTTCATCAACCAGCCCTTCTCCCTTAGAACCAACAGAATTCTGTTCTAACCCAGGACTAGGGTTCTTTCTTTTATTAGAAGAAACCACCATTTCCTGCTTTTGAAAGTCATCACTATTGAATTTGAAAGGAAGTGGATACATCTAAACCAAAGGAAGAGTCAGCCCATTAAATTCAAAGCTCCCTCGCCAGATGATTGCGTTGAGAACTGGGAGGGTACCCAGTCATAGAGAGAACCAGTTCTCAAGTGTAGAGAATACTCCAGGAGTCTCTGAAATGACACTATTTGGACCAAAATCAACTTTCATGAATATATTAGCACTTAGGAAGAAAGCAACCTTTTTGGAACTGTGTCATCATAAACTTCTCTTCAATCCCAAAACCTGTTCGAAGTAGCCTGGTTTGAGGAACCAATTAGTGCAGCAGTTGCTCGGACTGTGCATGGTTCAAGTCCTGCCTGTCTCCTTGGTTGTAAAGTCTGTGGCCTCTTTCTGTGCCTCTGTTTCTCCATTAATAGATGATGGGCAATAATAATGCCTCCATAGGAACTTACAGTGCTTAGCACAGTGCTCGGCCGTTGGTGAATACTCAAAAACTGCTGTGTAGAATTAGGTAACTATGGAGAATGAACTCTTCCTTATTTTCTTTGGTTATTACAGTTCAAAGTATTAGGCAAGGCACAATAGCTTTTTTCTTTCCAATAAGTATATTTCTCAGTAAAATAAGATCTGACGCATTTCATATATTTGAGATCACAGATGTTCTTTCTGTTGATGAGTAAATATTGTGGAATGTTATCGTGGAAATGTCTTCCAAATATATTTGGTTCAGCTGTTATTCACCATTCACCGTTTTTATTACAGTCTTTTATTGGGTGGAATTTCATGCGTTATAGTGTGTGATATGTTAATTGGAAATACTGAGTTTGTGGAGTAGAGTCTTGCCAATCCCATTCTTTTGTTGAGCATAAATGCATATGAAGTAGACGCCTCTCGCTGAAGAATGCGAGTGATCGCATGCTGTTTTCATTTTAGACCATCTCCGAGCTCCAGACAGCCATTTCCGCCCTGAAAGAAGAGAGCAGCCGGCAGCAGCTCGCTGCGGAAAGGCGGCTGCAGGATGTTACCCAGAAGTTTGAAGATGAGAAGAAGCAGCTGATTAGAGATAATGACCGAGCAATCAAGGTAATCGGAAGACTTCAGTAACCAGTGGTCCCAGCTGCTGCCATGTAATTAAAAGGGGGCAGATGCTTGCAGGTATCTGGCTTGTCCACACAGCCTGCAGTCACCCCACTCACTAGCCTCCACCTTTGATGTGTCCGGTGACTCAGGCCGCTTCCCTCTGAGAGGTCACATGCCAGCACACAAAGTCATTTTTGGCAAACTCGCTCCATTCACATGGAACACATATTCGAAAACCACCCGGTGCTCTTTCTTGAAAACCACTTTGGAACGTTCTCTTGATATTAGGATGACTCTTTCAGCCCAGGACTGCTGGCTAATAAACTCAGAAGTCAGCTTCCAATTGGCATCCTGTTCTCTGCCCACATCCTCTCATTATGCATCTGTGTGATGAGAAATAACCTGTTTGAGGTTTGGAATTCCAACTATTTGCTGTGCTCGGATGTGTATGCTGAGTACCTAGGTGGTTTCCAAACAGCTTCAGAAAGGCACACCTTTCATAGCAACAGACACCCCCTGCACTCTGGTTCCTGGGGTGATGGGCAGTCCGATCTCCAAATGGCATTTCCTTGGCTCCAGAGCAGTGAGTATTCCTGTGTTTGTCCACCTCATGCGTATTTAATCTGCGAGGATAAGCATCTGGAAAACTTTATAAATAAGATTTAGAAGAGAACAAAAAAAATATTTTAAGAATTATTTTTTGGTGACTTTACTTTGTTAGAGCAATGCTTAAAGCATGTAGAGTGATCATACAAAGCAAAGAAACATTTGGGTTTTATCACTGCCCTTTTCTGCCTGACACCCATCTTGCTTTCTATAGCCCATTGTAGACGATCTGAGTGATTTAGGGAAACGTTAGTGTTAATATAAGTTGCTTTCTTATATATAGACTAGGGCAGGGGTGGGCAAACTTTTTGACTTGAGGGCCACAATGGGTTCTTAAACTGGACCGGAGGGCCGGAACAAAAGCATGGATGGAGTGTTTGTATGAACTAATATAAATTCAAAGTAAACATCATTACATAAAAGGGTACGGTCTTTTTTTTTTTTTTAGTTTTATTCATTTCAAACGGGCCGGATCCGGCCCGCGGGCCGTAGTTTGCCCACGGCTGGACTAGAGGCTCGGTGCATGAGATTTGTGCACCGGGGGGGGGGGGGGGGGGGGGGTCCCTCAGCCTGACCTGCGCCCTCTCGCAGTCTGGGACCCATCAGGGGATGTCCCCCTGCCTGCTTAGGGGATCGGGCCTAAGCTGGCAGTCAGACATTCCTCTCACAGTCTGGGCTCTTGCAGTCTGGGACCCTTCACTCCTTACCGCCCGCCTGCGGCGGAGGTGGGAGAGGCTCCTGCCACTGCCGCTGCGCTCGCCAGCCATGAGCCCGGCTTCTGGCTGAGCGGCACTGATCACCAGGGGAGCAGTTCCTGCATGAGTGTCTGCCCCCTCATGGTCAGTGTGCGTCACAGCGACCCGTCATTCCACCATTCGTTAGATTTGCATATCAGGCTTTTATTATATAAGATATTTTTTAAGCCTGGGCAACCCCGAATAGAGTAAAAAACCTTTAAGGTAGGGGTCCTCAAACTTTTTAAACAAAGGGCCAGTTCACTGTCCCTCAGACCATTGAAGGGCCAGACTATAGTTTAAAAAAAACTATGAACAAATTCCTATGCACACTGCACATATCTTATTTTGAAGTAAAAAAACAAAACGGGAACAAATACAATATTTGTATTTGCATGTGGCCCGCGGGCCGTAGTTTGAGGACCCCTGCTTTAAGGTATGAACAAAACCTTGGAAGCTATTACATCCAGCCTTCTCACTTTAGAGGAAAGGACTTATTTTATTTTATTATTAATGATATTTTTCCCTATATAGTTCTACCTGTGAGCTTTTTCTTTTCCCCTATGTGTGATATAAGACAGAAGAGATGTTTCCTTTTCATATTTCACTAATTGAAAGAAATCTTTGGCACTCTTCTCATTTATAAATGCACAGCAAGTCCTCATTGACCTGTACAACTGAGTTGAACACTTCGTTTCAACTTTCATTTTATGGGAATTTCTTTTCCAGTGATGTTCAAATACCAACTGGTAGGTAATTTCCAAATTTCAATAAAAATTGAATTCCAATATAAGCAAAAAGGGAAAACGCCCTGGCCAGGTGGCTCAGTTGGTTGGAGCATTGTCCCAAGCACCCATTGTTGGAATTTTGTGAAGTCGTTATAAAATAAGGATTCGGGGACATTGGCAGAGTTTGAAGTTGTCACTGTGCGTCTCTCTGGTGTGCTCCAGAATCCTGTATCTTTCCTTGACTGCAGGTGGTTGAGAGGTTTTGTATGATGTCTGCCTTGCTCTACCCTATTTCTGTGCTGTTAGTGCATTTCTGCTAGTTTTTATTGTTGTTTATTCACGTCATTTGGTGTTGGGAGAGAGAAGTTCAATCTACTATCTACTCTCAGAAGCCTCTTTGACTCCCTTATAACATTTAACAAGGAATCTGTGTTAGTCAGCTATCGTCACAGTAATGCTCCATAAGAAACGATCCCCCAAACTCAGTGACTTATAAGAAAGGACACTACTTTTTCTTGCAAGGTGCCTGCAGATCTCTGGTGTGGCTCGGCTGCCGGCTGTGGCTGGCTGGGTTTGACCCCACCTTTGGATTGGGCTCATTCCAATGAAGCCCAAGAATGCCTAGGAGCAGTGATCCCGTCTGCCCTGGAAACAGCCTCTGACACCCCTCCACTCCGCGGCAACACCTCCCAGCTCAGCTGCCACTCCCAAGCCTCCTCCCATTCCCAGGCCCCATCTGCTCTTCCTCCTCTTAGCACTTAAATGGTGGTATTACTCAAGGCCTCTTCTCCTTGCTGTGTATGCACTATCCCTACATTGTCTCATCCCCTCAAGTAAGCATTCATGCAAATGACTTTTGAATTGTCACCTCCACCCAGACGCCTTTCTGAGCTCTCAGTCCAGTTCTAACCACTGCTGCACATTTTCACTTGGATGGTCCAGAGGCTGCTCAATCGAGGCAGATCACAAACAGAGTTACCTTCCCCCCGCTCTTCCCTTCCCCCAGCCTGTTCTTCCTCTTGTATTGATTATCTGAACTAGAGAACCACCAGCATCCACCCGGCCACTCCAGTCCGATTCCGCAAATCCCCTCCCTCACCTCATCGCTGCCAGTCCTCGCCCTCACTGCTCTCTGGTCCCAGGAACTCTGAGGAAGTCCTTTCCCTTGAAGATTAAATGTGGTCTTCTCTGTGACGCGTCCGAGGGAGAGGCTCACACCAGCTTTGTCAATTCCTGCAGTAAAGTGTTCACCACACACCTCCACAGTCCCTCATCTCAGGCCCTGAGGCTGCATGTGTTCTGTGAAGTCAGAGTATAGGAAGGTGACACAGTGCTTGTACTTTGTCCCCAGTGGGGTCTGGGGCAACACACAGTATCAAACACACAAGCACTGGGAAACGCAGGTTATCCTCAATAAATGGGACCACGGACACCCTGGCAACATCAGTCAAGTTTTGTGTTCTCACAAGTTAACTGCAACCTTTCAAAACTTATTTGTAGTTTTTGGAGGATTTTGGATCAAGGACTGCAGATGGGAGGTTGTGAACTGTGTTTTTATGAATTCTCTTTCTCACCAACTAGACTTGATGTTTCTTGAGAGCAAGCCCTTCGCACAATATTTGGCTCAGTGGAAGTGCTGGAAATATGCTGAATTAATGAATGATGTCCCCTCATAAACCAGGGCTCTGAAAACTAACAATGCCACTTGGTTCTCATGTTATTTCATCAGTGGCAACCAGCTTGTAAACTACCTGTGATGCTGTCACAGCTAGGCGAACATTACTCAGATCTTGTGGCCACAGTCATATATTTTGCCTGATCAGGCAGCATCTAATAGAACACCCTACAGCTCATATGTGTTATCTGAGGGGCATGGTTTGTATGCTCCGGGAAGGCCTCCAAAAGTCTGTCTACTGAAGCCAAGTCATCTAAATGTTAGTTAGCACCGTCCTCTCTGAGCCCAGAGTTCGCTGGGGAAGCTGTTAGAGGCAGCTCTACGACAGACTGCGGACTGTCCTCCGCCCCGCCGCCCCGCCAGGCCGAGCCCTTTCTTTGAAGCTAGTGTATTGAAAGTTCCTCACTGTGAAGCCAGATGTCCAAGCAGAGATTTCATATCAAGGAGAAATGTTGTCAGATTCTTGCTTGCAGGCATAGAAAGGAGGTTTGAGAGCATTGATGCTGCTCTCCCTTGGCCACTGACCGGAGTTCACAAGGAAAGGTCGGCTGCCAGTAGGATGTCTAGAAATCTGGTCTGCGTTACCAGAAGGGCTGGAGGGGGGAAAAGGAATATTTCATAAGATTGGGCAATTCTTACTGTGCTCAAAGCTTACAGGAATCCATTTCCCAAAGAATGAAAGTACAGAGCTCATTGTGGGGGGCTCGGCAGCACTGAGAAGCAGAAAGAAAGCGCAGTGCCCCACATCCACGGCTTTGTCTGGGGCCTGTTCGTTATTTAGTTCTCGTCTCCCCCGCCTGCACATCCTAAGGTGAGAGGGAAGTGGTGTTTTCTTTGTGCCCTCCTGAATTAGAATTAATAATGCTAAGAATAGAAGTGTATTCTGTGTCCCACCCAGGAAGGCTCGCCTGCTCGCTCAGAGAGGAAGGCAGAGCCATTCAGCCAAAGTGGCATGGGGGATACTTGCCATTTTCCAGGAAGAATGCCCTGGGAGATGGGTTTGGGTACCAAGTGGCAGAGAATTATGACCTGGCTTCCTAAAGCAAGGAGAAGCAAAAACAAGTAAGCAGAGCCCGGCCTGTGTGGCTCAGTGCTTGGGCGTCAACCTGTGAACCAGGAGGTCACCGTTCGATTCCTGGTAGGGTTTGCAGGCTCGATCCCCAGTGTGGGGCTTGCAGGAGGCAGCCAATCATTGATTCTCTCTCATCCCTGATGTTTCTCTCTCTTTCTCCCTCTCCCTCTCTGAAATAAATAAAAATA